AACTTCTCAGGCTATAGGTTAAGATTTCTTCCCACTGTGCCATATTCCTTCTACTTTTTGAGGTTTAAGGCCTCCCCCTACTTTTCCCCAGATCTGCATTCACATTATACACCTTTGAAGAATGCAGACTCCTTGAGGGCAAGGGTTATTGTATATTTGTCTATTCCTAGAATTATTTGATTTTTCCTTGGCTTCTGAAAATAAATTAGTTTGGGTCCAGATGGACTGCAAAGAGTTTCCATTTCCTTTCTTTAGTTTGCTTTTCATGGAAATTTAACTAAGGTATTGAACTTTGAGTGTATTTGTGAGGGAACTAACTTCAAGTGTGTGCCCTGCAGAGGTGCAGAAGGGTAAGCAAGTTCCTGGGGGAGATTTACCATTGGCTAATATTCCAGAGACAACATTATGGGTATGTTTATAGCAAGTGTATGAGTTTATGAGTTCCATATATGAGTTTAACTAGATGGCCTCTAATGTCTTTCCTGGGTCTCAAATTGTGTGATTTCAAAGAAATATGGTTTCCTGGCAAGGAGGGGAAATGACTTTAAAAATAGTACAAATTTATCATGAATGAGAAGGGAACATTCACAAAAAAAATATGGGGACCATTTTACCAAATCCTCATAGTTACTCCACCTTTCAAAAAAGACTTCCTTTGTAAGGCAACATGGAAAGGTCTGGGCTCCTTGACTGCTTCTGAGATTGACTAGCTTTGTGATCCCAGACAAGTGAGTTAATCTCTCTGAGCATCAGTTAACATGTCTGTAAAATGGGAATAATGATACCAGTAGTACCTACCTCACAGGGTTCTTGTGAGACTCACGTGAGGATCTGTATGAAAGCTTCAAATCACTATACGAATGCCGGATCTGATCAATCAAGTAGAACATATTAAGAACTTACTATGTTCCAGACACTGTGCTAGGCACCCGGGGGTATAAGAAAAAAATGTAAATAATGTCTGCACTCAAGGGTCATACAGTACAGAAGGGGGATTATAATCTCTCTCCCTTCCCTTCCCTTCCTTTCCTTCCCTCTTGCCTCTTCTGGCTTTAGTTTCTTTGTCTATATAAAAGGGAGTGGAGTTGAACCGAATGGCCTCTGGGGCCCCATCTAGATCTGTCTATGGCCACTATGACTATCTTTAGCTCTGCATATATTGCCAAAGGGGCTATGTATTCATGAGATAAGAAACAATTAGGAAGCTGAAGACATGAGAAAGATATTTTTAAACACTTGGCCTAAGAGTCAGCAAAGGTGGGTTCCAATTCTAGTGGTGCCATCAACTGGCTGCTTGACCTTAGACTAGTCACTTCCCTTGAGTTTATAATTGGGACCCTGAGCTCTCCACCCATTACAGTAAATTATTGTTTTCACTTTAAACAGCTGACCTAGTATGTGTTGTGCTGGGAAGTCACTAAATTGCTGCAAAGATGCTGACCAAGGGAAGTGGAAGGGAGAAGGTAGAGGTCACAATGGTCAAGGTTTTAGGAAGGGAAATCCCTACCAGAGAGGTATTATGATATAGAAAGAGCACTGGGTAAGAGGAAAAATGACTTCTTTCTAGTTTGTTTATACCATTAATTAACTGGGTGATCATAGGTAGGTCACTAAACATCTCTGAACATTAATTTCTGTAATTAACAACAACAACTTTTATATAGCATTTACTACATACCAGACACTGTGAAAAACCCTTTACAATTATGTCATTATCTCCACATAACTCTGGGAGATAGTTGTTGTTATTATCCTCTTTTTATAGATAAAGAAAATGAAGCTTGAAGAAATTTATTGACTTGCCCTAGGTCACCCAGCTAGTAATTATCTGAGACAGGATTTGAACTCAGGTCTTTCCAACACCAACTACAGCATTCTATTCATTATGCCTTCTACAAAAGAGGAAGAGGGGATGGGTCTGAGTGGCAAGACAGGAGATTCTAGGTCACTTACAATTCTTCCAATCTATGGCCCTACTCAAAGGGATAAAATCATAAAATGTGAGGAGCTGTTCTAAGTGCTGATACCCTCAGGCAGCTCCCATTCTCTGGGAGAGACAACATGTACTCACATAAAGTATATGTAAAATACAGCTACACTTGGAGTCAGGAGTCTTTTGTTATAATTTCAATTCAGATATTTAAATAGCTATGTGACTGGGTGAATTGTTTTTCTGAACCTTAAGGTTCTCTGTAAAATGGGGATAATAATACCAATATTACTTAGCTGAAATGGTTGTTGGAGGGAAAGTACATTTTAAGTCTGGTATGACTGTTAACTACTATTAATATGAGGTGAGGCCTGAGCTGTACCAGCCAGCCATAGTGTGGGGTCAAAGAGGATGGGGGAATTTGAAGATTTTACCCTTGCTTTTTTCTTTCCCCAATTCCTATCCATAATAATTAGCAGATTCTTACTCCCTCCCAAAGAAGTGAGGGGTGAATGGGGGTAGGAGGTGGTAAGCAATGATTCCTTCTGGTTTGGGCCAGGGAGGGAAATGCCAAGTGTCATCTGGGAGATATGGGGAGTTCCTGAGAGTACCAGGAGTTGAGTGTTTTGTATGCAAAGGGGATGTTTATCCTGGAAGAGAAAAAAAACTGAAGAGGTTGAGGAGGTCAAGCCTGATTATTTTCTTCAAGTATTTGCCTGGCTGTCCTTGGAAGAAGGGACTTGAACTGCTAGGACCCAGAGGGCATAACTAGGGATCAGTGGGTGCATGTTATAAAGGGAGAGGTTTGTCTAGATGTAACTAAGGATCTAACAATTAGAATAGTGCCAAAGTGGAGCAGGCTGCATTGGGAAGTAGCTGAATCCCCCAAGCTCAGTATTCCCAACAGAGTTGCAGAGAGGATTCTTGTTCCAATGGTCTCCAATGTCCTTACCAAAGATGGGAGTCTATGGCCAATCAATCAATATTTATTGAACACCTAGTATGTACCGGGTGTGGTTCTAGACTGGGTATGCAAATAAATACAAAGTATTGAATAATCTCTATTTTCAAGGAGTCATATATTAATATAATCTTTGAAGTCATGAGTATATAAGCTAGCTACTTCCTGTATCCTGTATCCTGTATTCTAGCACACAAGTTAATGGATTCTCAAAGAAGACACATAGCTCATTCCTGACCATCCTTTTAACCTCTTCACTGGCTAAGCTTAAGAGATAGCTTTGATTCAATGTCTCCTAACTTGTTGAAAGGAGGAGGAGTTCTAGACAATTTCTTCAAAGGTCATTAAGACAAAATGTCCTAGGAGAGGAAGAACACTTTGGAGGTTATCCTTTCCATCTTTCCTTTGGCATGGCATATAACCCATCTAAAACAGAGTCTCTTCCAATCTTTTCTTAGAGAACTTAATGCCCATGAGAATAGCTGCCTTGTGTTTGGCTCCAAGGCAGAGGCGAGGAAGGATAGTACTCACTCCCAGCCATCATAGAACTACTGGTCTAGTTACAGAAAGAAAGTATCTTGCACATGAAAACTCCACAAAAAAAAAATCAAGCTAGTTTTCACTAGTGTCCTATTGCTGGGGCAGCCAGCCAGCATCCCAGGAGTTCACCAGAAAGGATGTGTCATAGACAAGGGATATTCAAGAAAACACAAGGGACCTCAGAGACCTCCTCATCCAAGCAATGAGTAAACAAGCATTTTAAGTGTTTTCTATGTGCTGAGACACAAAAGAAAGGCAAAAACATGGCCTCTGCCCTCAAGGAGCTCACTTTCTAATGGCAGAATTAAAATAGAAATAGCAAGGTAAAAAAGAAAAGGTGTTTACAGAGTAGGTAGAAGGTGATTTCAGAGAGGGAAACACTAGCAGTGGCAGGACAAGGAAAGGTTTCCTGAATGTTGAAGGAAGTCAGGGAAGCTAAGAGAAGTGATGAGGAGAGAAAGCTTTCCAGACATAGAGAACTGCCAGAGCAAAGGCCCAGAGGTGGTAGATGACTTGTTGGGTCTATGGAACTGCGAGAAGGTCAGGGTTACTGGATTACTGAGTGGCTGAGAGTGGGAAGGGGAGGAAAATGTAAGAAGACTAAAGAAGAAAGAGGCCATGTTCTGAACCCCTACTCCCCCATTTGACAGATAAGGGCTTAGGTGGTGAAGATTTCCCATGGTCCCATAGCTAGTAAGTGTAAGGAGGAGCACACAAATCGAGATCTTCCTGACTTCAACTTTAGCCACATTTGGCAAATTTGTCGTAATTTTAAGGAAACACCAAAAGTCTGTGTGGCCATGTTAGGGGAATGGAGTTCTCCATTTTTTACTGATAGATAAAAATCTTCTCTTTTCTAGCCATAGAAGGGCAGAATTTCAGATTCAGTGCCCCCTCCCTTTCCCTTGGGGCATGCCCAGTTGATATTGCCAGAAAGCCCACGGAAGCTTGGCCCGTGCTTGCTTCTGGGCATGTATGATAGAAGGTGCTGAGGAGAGAGGGCAGTAGGATGCTACACAGAGGCATCTATTCTAATTTGCATCTGAACTAAAATCCCAAGGACCAAAGCCAACAAGTGGTCATCCAGTCTTTACTCAGAGACCTCCAATAAGGGAGAACTGCCCACCTCCCAAGGAAGCCCCTCCTATTTTTGGACATCTCTAATTACTGGAGAGTTTTCTGTCTTTGTTTTGTTTTCTGATTTCAAGCCCAGATTTGCCCTTTCACAACTAATCTCCCTTCCCCCACCCATCCATTGTCCCTGATTCTGTAATTCTGGGGCCAAACAGAAAAAGTCTAATTCTTACGCATGACTGCCTTTTAAATATTGGAGCATGACTCTTATGTCGCCTCCTACTCTAAGTCTTTTCTCTAGGTGGAAAATTCTGCTTTCTTTAGCTGATTCTTACTTGGCATAAATTCAAGGTTTCACTTCTGTGGTTGAGTCACAGTGCTGGTAGAGTGGTTTGGGCTGGGGTAGGGTGAGACTGAGGCTGAGGCTGAGACTTTGGTCCCCTCACCTTGGCTTTTCAGGACTTTTAACCAGGGGCTCTCCTGTTGTGCCAACAGCCATATCAAAACCTGAGGTGGATGCCCAGCTCCTGACCAAGGAAGAGGGGGAAGTACTGGCCCTGAGCTGCCGGGTGACAGGAAAACCAGCCCCCAAGATCACCTGGGACCTGCCAGATGGCTTGGTGGTGACACCACAGCTCTCATATGTTTGGTACCCTAACAAGACTGTGACTGTCATCAGCAACTTCACCTATATTCCTGCCCAGTTCCCCCAGGAATGGCCAATAATATGTATGATTCAGCACCCAGTCCTCAACACAGAGATTGAACTGAAGTATCCATTCCATGAACCTACTGGTAGGTGGGGGCACTTGGTGGAGGGGAGGAGGACATGGAAATACCTCCAGTGGAGGAGGAGGCAAAGGGAGAGATTATGTCATATAGGAAATAAAAATAGATTTTGAGTTAGAAGGAATATCAGAAATTAACTATTCTAACACCCTCATTTTAGAGATGAGGTAACTGAAGGAAAAACAAAACAAAAAAGGACTTGGTCAAGGGCATACAGGTAGCAAATAACTGTGTCAGGATTTGAACCCAAGTTTTGGATACCATGCTCAGTGAATGTATCTTTTCATCACATTATGTTGCCATCCCAGACCATGCACCGATCCTCATAAACCATCAACAAGTAGCTATTACACACCTCCCCTGTCCCAGATACTAAGGTAGGTGCTGGGAAGGCAATGACAAAAGTAAAATCATTCCTTGCCTTCCAAGAGCTTATGTTTTATCACAGGAAAAAGCATTAACAATCTACTGTGCATCAGTCACCATGCTAGGCACTGGGGATACCTTGATTCAAATGAATCAATCTCTACTTTCAAAGAGTAAATATGTCCATGTGAAGAAAACCATTTGAAAACCAGTAATAATTTATTATCTCTATTTCCACTAAATATGCCCTATTAGTACTAGGCATCTCCTACTAAGAGCCCTTCTCTAGCCTAATCTGTATTGAAAGCCTCTTTCTGCTTCACTCTTTGAACACAAGGTTTTGTGTTCTATTGGTTTGACCTGGGGATTTAATGGACAGCAAGCTCAGTGGGAGACAACAGTGTAAGTTGGTGCCAACCCTAGGCACCCCATCCAAAACTAACATGTTCTTGGCTTGCATTAAAGGAATGGAGACTTCCATGGCTAAGGATGGGGATGGTGGTGCAGTGATAGTCCCACAGCACTCTGATCTGGTTAGACCACATCAAAAGCACTATGACTGGTCACTTCTGGGGGCCAAGTTTATGAAGGGCATTGATAAGTGGAAATATTCCAACCCCCTAATTTTACTGATGAGGAAACTGAGGTTCTGGGAGCTGAGGCAACTTATCCATGGCTACACATGTAGTAAATGAAAAAGGAAGAGCCTTTGGATCTTTCTACCATTCCACACTCACTCTCTTAGGTCTGGGGTCCATGCTTTATGAGGATTTTGGGAGGGAATGGAGGATGTTTAACCTGAAGAACAGAAAACTAGAGGAATGGTGGGGGGCAGTGGGAGAGGAGAGCATGATACCTTTATTCAAATTCTTCAAGAGCTCTCAGGCAAAGGGAAGGAAGATTAGATGGTGTTTTGCCTAGTCCCAGAGAAGCCAGGGATAATGGATAGAAAAGAGAAATGAATGCTTGATGGGAAGTGTAAAATCCAACAATTAGAGCTACACCAGGACTGGAATGGACTATACCGAGACATTGCATCAACGTCTTCATGGCAAATGCTGGATTACCAAGAGTACGGGACTTGGAGAAGGATTTTGTTTTTTTCTTTGGGATGGTTTAGACCACAGTAACTCAGTGGATCCCTTCCAGCTCTGAAATTTTGTGCTTTTCTGACCTTCCAGTTAGCCTCCATTCCAACCCTACCACATGTCATGACTTCTCTTTATCCAACCACACCTAACTCTTCTTGTTCTAGTTTCATAATGATCTGAAACAAACACCTCATTTGACTTAGTTTTTTTTTTAACCCCATGATGGCTACAGGACTCTCCCAGGCCCTGCTTACCAACAGAAAGACAACATGATTTTATTGAAAGAGAACTGAAGTAGCATCCCTCAGCAAATTTTCTTTAAACCAGTTTTATCCTCTACTGTCTCCTTCCATTTTATAAGGCAGTAATAGGCAGAGGGTTCTCTCATCGTAATCCTCTGAAGTCATCTAGGTAGGAATCATTGTCACCATTTTACAGTTAAGGAAACTGAGTCTCAGAGAGGTAAAGCCCACATGAATACACAAGGTGACATAGTGGATGAGGAAACTGAGTCTCAGAGAGGTGCAGTATATGTGAGTACAATAGGCTACATAGTAGATAGGGAAACAGTCTCAGAGAGGTGAAGCATACATGAGTATACAAGGTGACATAGTGGATGAGGAAACTGAGTCTCAGAGAGGTGAAGCATACATGAGTGTACAAGGGTACACAGTGGGTAGAGCACTGAGAGTTAGAAGAGACTTCAGAGGTCATTGAGTCCAACTTCCTAATTTTGCAGGTGGGGAAACTGAGGCTCAGGAAAGTACATAGGATCATAGATCCAGAGCTGAAAGGTACCTCAGAAGTCATCTGGTCCAACCCTATCATTCTAATTGAGGTCCAGGGAAGTTATGACTTGCTCAGATTTACACAGGTAGTGAGAGACAGAGCTGGGATTAAAATGCCAGGTCTTTTCCCTTCATTTCACACCACACCATTGCCTCTTAACTCTTTTCTCACAAAAGCCATAACACACAGTCTAGGGAAATGCAAAAGGCCTGGACTGGAAGTCAGATATGACTTCACTGCTTACTAACTCTGTGACTGAGTAAGGCTGCTTTTCCTCTCTGGGTTCCAGTTTCTATTGGAGATTTGAGGGGAGGGGGCAAGACAGTGGGACTAGTTGATCTTTTCTAGCTTTTGGTCCTATAATCTTCCCTCTCCTTTTATATTAACTATATTAAATATTTTAAATATTTCTATTAATTATATAGGCACCAAGTAGAGTCTGACTCCTACATTGTAGGGCAGTGGAACGTTTAATGAATTTGGGCTTGGAGCACCTGAATTCAAATCTCACCTCTACAACTTGCTACCTGTGTGGCCTTGGACAAGACACTTAGCAACTCTTTGGGCCTCAGTTTACCCATCTGTTAAATAAGGAGGCTAGACTAGATGGCTAGATGTGTGGTCCCTTACAGATCTAGATCCATGATCCTATCCATCTGCCTGAGCACAGGTTACTCATCTGTAAATAAAGAGATTAGACTACATGATTTTTGATCCCATATCTCTCTCTGGCCTCAGTTTCCTCACCTATAAAATAAGGGGGTCAGACTAAGTGGTCTCTTAGGTCCCTTTGTGCTCTGGGTCCATGTCTCTAGAGGTAACATTTCTTTTTATGATCCTGTGCCATGTAGCCAGTCGTTCAGTAAACATTATTAAGCTCCCATTACGTGTCAGACACTATGCAAAGTGCCCTAACTCATGTAGCCTCACTTCCTGATGATTTCATCTTCCAGATGATCATAAGATCCTCTTCATCTGCTTCTCTTCTGCGAGCATCACTGCCTCTTTCCTGGGTCTTTATTGTTGCTGTTTAAGGAAACAAAAAATGGGTACCTGCCAAGTAGGCGAAGCTCTGATCTTGGTAAATATGAAAATTCCTCACCCAATGGACTGCTTTGTGCACATGGTAGCCAGTATGTCTGTTTGGGGAGGGAGATAATGTAAAATACCATGGGAGGGGCTAGAAGCTTCAGGGAGTGAAACTTCTCTATCTTTGGAGTTGGGAAAACTTGGATTCTGATCCTGCCTCAGACATCAAATAGCCACATGACCCGGGGCAAGTTACTCCTCCTCTCTGAAATTACTAATCTGTAAAAAGGGGATAATAATAGTGATTCCTTCCCTTTTTGTTTTCTCATATTTTCAATATAAGCAATTGATCAAAAAGCAAGACATATTTCAAAATAAACAGATTTTTATCATTTAAGTAAAATGAGGTGACATAGGTCAAGTCCTTTGTGCAGTTACCATGCGATGCAAATTTCAAGTATTATGATAAGCCATGACACATGTCCTCACTGGGGGATAAGGCCATACAGATATGTAGCTGCTGTTGCATGGTAAGTGCGCTAGAGAGTTCAAAGCTAATTCACTTACTAAGGTCCCTGGCACTCAAGCACAAGGAACAGCTAAAAGAGTTGCAAATGAGGCATTGATGATGATGATGATGATAAAAGTAACATTTTTATACACTTTAAAGTTTACAAAGTGCTTTGTATACATTATCTCATTTGATCCACATAGGTGCTATTATTATCCTCATTTTACAGAATTGGAAATTGAGGCACACAGAATTTAAGTGACTTGTTCGGGGTTGATAGCTTGTAAATGTGTGAGACAGAACTTGACCCGAGGATTTTTAAATTTCAGTTCTAGTATTCTATCTATCCGTTACTCATTGCTGGTTCCTTAGTCTACCTCAAATGTCATTTTCAGCTGTAGACATAATCCTGAGACCTCCAGATTAGAAAAGTCACATCTGGGAGAGGTGATGTGGTACAGTAGAAAAAGCATCTCTGTTTGGAATCAGAGGACCTGGCCAGCCTTCCACCTCTGATGCTTACTACTTATGTGATTTTGGGCAGATCAGTTCTCTTTTCCAGGCCTTTGTTTCCACACCTGTGAAATGATGAGGTTGTACCAGATGACCTCTGAACTCCCTTCCAACTCTACGTCCATGAGTTTATTGTATCTTTGACATGTTATACTATACTATATTAAGTTATGTTATGTCATATCATATCATATATAATACATTATTATATCTATTAATTTACTATAGAAAGATTCTAGGAAGTCAAGAGATATGAAGTGATTGCCTAAGTCACAGAGAGAGGACACAGTAGAGCTGATATTTGAACCCATATCTTCTGATTTCAAATTTTTTCCCATATTCCCTGATAATAAGATTTGAATCTAGTATTGGCGGGGGTGGGGAGTACAGGGTTATGCTTAGAGATGATTTCCAACTCTCTCATTTTACAAAAAGGAAATCCAATGACTTGTTCAGGGTCTTTCATGGAACAGTCCTCTATGGATGGCATAGCTCAGCTCTGGTGCCTTTCTGCTAGCACCATGAGGGAAAAGCTTTGCTTTCCTATCTGTCCACTGTGCCAACTCCAAATGAATTCATTGCTATTCTGAGCCTATGAGAGCTAGAGCGACTTATTTATAGAATTAAATTCATTTTCATGAATTTTGGTAAAAACAAAACAAAACAAACAAAAAAAAAAACAACAAACAGAAAATGCTTAGAAAATTCACCAATGTCTTCTCCTAACAGGTCATCACTTGGTTGACTCCAAAGGTCTGCTGTGGTTGGTTCTCAAGCAAAGTTTCTGCCAATATCACTGAACAAGAAAGGACTGTGGATGTGTAACCCTTTTTGTACTTATACTGGAAGTACTCTTATACCTGTGCTAAGCTATGGGGTTGAAACTGGCAAGGAAAATCCAGGGTCCCTGCCTGAGAGTGTGCAACCAACTGGCTCCTTCAGGACAACTCCTATAGATGTAGCTGAGCTTTCTGTGATTCAGGCATCTCTTGATCTTGTATCTTGTGTTGATCAACTGCATTACTCTAGTGGGTATGTGATCTCATGAGTTTGGGAGTTCCCTCCAATGATCTGAAGTAAGACAGATTGTGACCCATCCATACCTGCCTGTTTGATGCTATTCTTGTTCATGGCCTCCCAAAAATTCACCCCAAGGAGTTCATCTAACACTGGGGACCATTTTTGATTTTTCCCAACATCTCAAGGTACCAGTGAACCATTCTTCCCATCTTTGGCATCTCTTGATTTAAACACATGACCCTGCCACCTTTTGGCTGGCCATGATGATAGGCTCAGCTCTCATTCTTCTTCAGAGAGCCTTGTTGGTTCTATTTTACAGCTCCTCATATCTACCTCTCATTTCACCATTGTCCTTCATGTGATATTCTTCTTTAGTGTTTCATAGGATATGGTGTTCCTGTTGTATTGGCATTGAACAACATCTGTAATATGTTTATTATTAAAAACATGGTCCTTTTCTTTTATGAAAAGCTGTATAGAATTAAACCACTTTTTTGTTGGTATGAGAATGTGCAGAATATACATATATGTGCCGCACGTTAGAAAGAGCCACAATCTCTAGACACATTCCATGATTTGTACTTCGTTGGTATTGTTCAATTGTTGCAATCATGTCCAACTCTCTGGGACCCCATCTTTTGGGTTTTCTTGGCAAAGATACTGGCATGTTTGCCATTTCTTTCTCTAGATCATTTTAAAGATGAGGAAACTGAGGCAAACAGGGTGAAGTGACTTGCCTAGGGTCACACAGCTAGTAAGTCTCTGAGGCCATATTTGAATTCATGAATCTTCCTGATTCCAAGCCCAGTGTTTAGACACTGTACCACCTAGCTGTTCCTTACAACAAATTTGCTAGCCAGAACCAAAATGGGTGAGAATTCCTCTGATTACTACCAGTACAATTAATATTATGTGAAAACTGGTAGGTTATGGCCATTGGTTGTCTCCATGACCAAACCATCTCTTTTTTTCTGCTTATACAATGTCTCCAACACTACCTTGTAAATATAAATATTTCAGTAATTCAGGGATCTCTGAAGTAGGTTTAGGTAAGGCCTTCACCAGTATGGATTCTGAGCCCCTATGGCAGTCTTTGCAAGTTTCTATGTCCAGGGTAGGTAAAGTCAATATAATTTTTAGAATGATAATTTTACCTAACTAATCTATTTATTAAATGTCATCCTAATTAAATTACTAAAATTATTTTACCGAGTTAGAAAAAAATAAAGACAAAGTCCATTTGGAAGAGCCAAAGGTCAGGAAACCAGGGAAAAAAGATGTAAAGGAAGTAGATTCAACAGTATCAGACTTTAAGCTATATTATAAGGGAGAACATTGGTAAAGTGTAAAAAGGATAATTTCAATTATTTTAAATTAAAATTTTCTTGTATAAATAAAACCTATGTAGCCAAGAATAGAAGGAATGCAGAAAACTGAAGAAAAAAAAACTTTCATAGACAATCTCTCAGATAAGATGTGATTGGGTCAGAATGTTTCTGTAGTGTAGGAAATGATGACCTGGTTGATTTAGAAAAACATGGAAAGATGTGGACCTATGAAGGAAGATGCTATCTACTTTCAGAAAAACAGATAACAAATGGACATAAGCATAGTACGGTCTTACATACATGTGTATGAGTATATATGTGTATGTTGATAGATATGTACATATATTCATATACATACAAACACACATATGTGTATACACATACATGTGTATATATGTACACACACATGTATGTATATCTATCCATGCTTAATTGTAGCCTTCTTTAGGGGGGGTGGGAGGGGGAAATAAAGCAAAAAGTGCATCGTAGAGAATAAAAGAAAATCTACAAAGAAGTAAAGAAAAGCTGGGCAGCTTTGAAAACAATGTGTAATATTTATTATATAGGTTTTCTTGAAATGGAAATTTGTTGTTTTATATTGAATTCTATGTTATAGTTTGCTGTGTATGTGACAATTTTTTTTCTTTTCTCATTTGTATTTAAGTTTAAAATAGAAAAAAAATCTACCAGAAAAAAAAAAGTTTCTGTGTCCAGCTAACCCACCATGCTGTGGCCACTGTGGGGATCAACTTCTCTGACCATGACTAGGCTGGTTTGGAGAGGGAAGACCCTCAGTCTCTTTGGCCCTAGACTTGAATATTTACTGGCATGTTAGGATCATTCAGGACATCAGCTGTGCTAACTGTCCTTGGAGCAAAAGAAGTTATCTCTAGGTTCCAGTGAACATTCAAACAAAAACTTTGCTGAAGAGGGCAGTATTACCACCATGCATGTGTCAAATGTTGCTGCTATTTAAAATGTCTTATTGCTATCTTAAAAAAACAAACAAAACCAAAACCAAAGCAACCCTTATCTTTCTTTTCAAATATGTCCCTCCCTCTTTCCCTACCCATTGAATGATTTTTTATAAGAAATGTAAAAATAAAAGAAGTACAGTAAAAATAATTAACACATCAATAAAGTCTGTCTTTATGTGAACTGGAGAAGTAGAATTCTTATTATGACAGCTGAGAGGTCTCTGGGTGACATTGTGATGGTAAAGGCTGAAATGATGTTGTAGTGGAAAGCAAGGGAGATTCCCTAAGGTCATATTGTTTTGCCTCTAACATGTTGGCTTAGATGTGAGCAAATCATGGATAGGAGTTACTATGATACTAAAGAGGAACGAAATTTCAAGCTGGAAGGGATATTAAAGATTAATTAGTCTATTCCCCTCCAATTTGACAGGTGGGGAAATTAAGGCCCAGGAGGGTTAAACCTTAATTCCAAGTAGGAATATTTATACCAGAAGGAAGAACAGTAAACTATATCCAAGATCACTGCTAGGACTCCTGTCCCCAACTGCCATGTCAGGGCTATGTATGCATATATGAACACATATATTATATGTAGTGCTATATACAAGTGTGCATGTGTGTATATGTGTATATGTTTTTATATCACCTGTATTTTCTAGTGTGTCCTATCTATTCCTCAGGGAGAACCATTCTATCTAAAAAAGGGAAAGGATAGTTAAATAAAATGAACAAAAGTACCCAAAACTCCAACATTATATGAAGCATTCCATATTCCTAGATGCCTGCTTCTGTAAACAGGGAGAATGTGGGGGTGGAGGTGGTGATGGATACCTTCTCATGCCTCTTCTTTGGGGTCAAATCTAATCATTACAATTTCCCAGTGTTCAGTTTGTACATGTCATATCATTATTTTCAATTAGAGGAAATGTAGGGCAGTGGATAGCCAAACTTGAAACTAGGAAGACCCGTGTTTAGATTCTGTCTCTGTCACATATTGTGAGACTGTGGGCAAGCCACTTGATTGTTGACCTTTATTCTCAAAGAGGACCAAAATGATATCTCTATGTTGGAGTCAAGGTACAGTATGTCTGCTTGTGACTGATCAGACCAATACAAGCTCAGAATGCTCTACTGGAGGTCAGGCACAAATAGTCCACATGAACATTTAGAGATGTCTCTAAATTTGGGCAGCTCATGTTTCTTTTAAGCTACTGCAATTCTGCTTTGCTCAGAGCATAGTGCCTTCTTTGTGAGTGCTCCATAAGATAGTCTTTTAGGCAAATGCACGGTGTGGCCAGCCCATTGGAGTTGTGCTTTCTGCAGTAGGGTTTGAATGCTTGGCATTCAGCTTGAGAAAGGACCTCAGTGTCTGCTATCTTATCCTTCCAGGTGATCTTCAGAGTCTTCCTAAGACAATTCAAATGGAAGCAATTCCGTTTCCTGGCATGACACTGGTAAAAACTCTTTAAGCCTACAACTTGCATAGAAGGTGCTGAACTGCATAAGTAGAGAGAATGTTCCCACCTGAGAGTTCTCCATATCAGTGAAATCTGCGGGGAGGTGCAGGGGCGATGTAGGATAATCACCCTTAAAAAAGTTCAGAATTTTTTGTCCTGCATTGGCCCATTGGCTATGTGGTGAAGCCTTTGAACTCTTTTAGAATAATGTTGTTAAAAGCAAAAAATAGAATATATAGGATCACAAAGAAAAACAATTATACTGGAAGGCAAGCATCAACATATTCAGAAGCTTAAGTTAATGGATGCTGGGTTAAGAAGTGATTTAGACCAAATCGACAGGTGTTTGTGTGAGGAGACAAAAAGAGGGCTTGAGGGCAACCACAGCTGGGTTAGAATTGTAAAGACAGACTTGTCCAACATCATGATTTTACGGGATGATCTGAACTCCCAAACCTAGGAAGTAACTTGTCCGTGGTCACTGAAGAAGACTTATTGTGTTCAACTGCTCCTGAAATTTAGCCTGAGTTTAACTTGCAACAAAAGAGTCTCAAGGACACCTTGCTTGGCCACTTTGTGTAAACTCCTCATTTTGATGAGGAGGAAACAGAGACTTGGCTTTAGGGTCAGAGAGGGGATTAGAAGCCATGTTTGCTGATGCCCCACTTAAGCATTCTTTCTGCCAAAATTTGGAAATTTGGCCTCATTGAAAATAAGATCAGAAGGAGAACTGGTCCCTAGTTTTGTGACTCAGGACAATCATCTCAGGATGTGTGTTTGTTGGGAATAAGGGGTATGTTAAACTTTCCAGATATTATCACAGAGCCTGACAAATAGTGGGCAATTAATAAATTCCTCAAATGCACTATAGAAATGTGTTATTGTATCATCATTATCGTTATCATCATCATCGCTGCTGTTATTCCTTTTCTGACACAAACTGGCCATGTGACCTTGAACAAGTCCATTAACCTTCGAACGCCTCGATTTCCTTATCTCTCTGATGGAATATACATTGGTGAGCTTAAAAGTTCCTCCAGCTACAGTTTCTGTGAAGTTCACCAAGGAATATTGGGAGCCTTTTAAGGTATATTTGGCTTGACTCAGGAAGGGGTGGTCACTAGATGGCAGCAATACATTGGAGAGGGTCCTTGGAGTTAACTTCTTTGAATTTTTGTCTTTTTGTAACATGTTATAAAAGGAAGCCTGAAGAAGCTGGGACAGGAAAATCTGTTGGGGCTATGTTAAGAGACTTCAGATATCTGAAGTTTCTCATTTCAAAAGAAATTTCTTTCATTTTTCCCCCTCTGCACCCAAGACTTGTTACAATACTTTGTTATTGAGTAATTTTGAATGAACAAATTTGAGAGTTTTTTTTTCTAAATTCCCTAGTGTTCTGGAAGGCTAAACTAATCTTAATTGGTAGGTGTTATGGAAATACATATTTTGGCTTAAAATAAAGAGAACCCATTTATGAGTCAGAGATATGTATTATGGAATGGGACCTTTCTCACGAGCAAATGTTTCTCATCACTGGAAGTATTCACAGACTCACAGAATTTGAGAGTTGGGAGGAATCTCAGTGGCCATTGAATCTAGCCCATACACACACACAAAAAAATCCCACTATAACATACCTGACAAGTGACCATCCAGTTCCTACTGGAAGGTCTCTCTGATAGCAGAGAGCTCCTCACCTCTTGAGGCAGTCAATCCCAAGGTGGGAGAGCTTTCATTATTAGGAAGTTTTTGCTGACTTCAAACAGAAATTTGCATCTTTGACAACTTCTTCCCATTGCTCCTGATTCTGATCTCTGGGGACAAGCAGAAAAACTTTAATCTCTTTTTCACACGACAAGTATTCAAATATGTGAAGACATTTTTTCTCCAGTTTATCAATATC